GCATGGGATGCACTTTATGACTGAATTCATAACCATGTATTTGTTGTTGTATTATTATATTCATATTTAAATTAACCATACTTATGCCAGAAAATATAAACATGTAACTGTTTATGTGATGTAAGCCACTGTACTTTGCAAAGACCTACAGTATGTAGAAATGTCTTTTTTGTTTATGTCTACCAATTGATTATGTTGTAATAATAAAGCAAACTAACTACATAAAATTAAAACACAACTAATAAAACTGTTCCCTAAAAACAGTAGAAGTAAAGGTTCGTGCCAGTCAAGAAACTTATATATATATATATATATATATATGCCATGCTGCTTCCTGCACATTTTGCAAAAGTCTGAAATAGATAAACATGAATCTGGCAGCATGTTGCCAACATGTTTCTGCACATAACATCTCAGTTTGGAAATTAAAAGTCTGGCAACTAAGACCAAAATGTTGATGCTTTATGGTGTTTCAAAATAACCCACTGCTTACACGTACTCATAGATCCAATTTGGCCAGTCTAAACACCCACTCAAGACCTACTTGTACCTGCACCTGGAGATTTCTGATACATAACTTTCAAACATAAAATAGCATTTGTTATTTGTATATAAAATGGTAGATGAAAATGGCAACTGTCGAAGTACTTTAGTTTTTTGCAGTTTTATCTATACATGATGGCATATTAAAAAAATAGGAAAATTTTTTGCCTAAATATTTTATAGTGATACACTTTTTTTATTCTGTTCATTAATGCAGCATTTATTAAATGTATTAAATTGTTAAATAATTATTAACATTTTAAATAACTGCTTTTGTATTGTATTGTATGTACTTTTAAATGAAATTTTTTGTCCAATCATCACTGCTTAAATTACTATTACCAATAGTAATAGTAGTATTAATAATAATAATAATAATAATAATAATAATAATAATAATAATAATAATAAAAATAATAATAATAAATACTCCTCCTCCTCCTCCTACTACTACTACTACTAATAATAATTATTATTATTAGAGCAATTTCTGAAGGATCATATGACTCTGAAGACTGGAGTAATGGAGCTGAAAATGCATCATTAAAATCACTGCAATAAATTATTAAAGAAAACTTTAACCTACTTTTGAGCAGTTATTTTATAGTGCAATAACATTTCACAATTTTACATTGAGCAGGATAAGCCTATTTTTAAACATTTAAAAATCCTACTGACCACAAACGTTTGACCATTAGTGTATAAAATAATTGATATTTCAAATTAATTGAATTTATACAAATTTTAAGCTATTATGTTATGTTGTAAGAGTGTGGGTGAACTGAGAGCTAGCTTTCTGTGGCTCTCACTTGGTTTCCTGCTGAAGCTAAGCAGGGCTGTGCCTGGTTTGTATCTGGACAGAAGACCACATAGGAAGCTAGGTTGCCATAACCATAAGAGGTGTTAGAGAGGCCAGCAGGGGGTGCTCAACCTGGAATCTGTGTGGGTTCTAACAGTCTAATATAATGATCAGGACTCTGTATATTGTTATTATTCAGTGAGCATTATGATGAGATGAGATGTAACACTGAGGTTCTGACTCTCTGGTTTTTAAAAATCCATAAATGATCCTCTCCATCAATAAGCTTGTGTGTCTTCTGGTGCAAAATGGTTGCTGTCACTGCATCCAGGTGGATGCTACAGACTGGTGGTGGTGGTGTCAGTAATAAATATTAATTTAGGTTTCTGAACAATATAAATATTACAGTGAGATTTTTATTTGTATAAGGAGACTGCAGCCATGTTTAATACAGAGATCTGATCTCAATACCATCATGAAGAAACACAACAAACAGACAGACTAAGAAATTCAGGTGGCATCTTATCAATGGTTTATTTGTCATGTGCTGTATCGGAAATGACCTCCTATACCCTCATTCATATTGGTACTCGGCATTGGTCTACTAATATAGTCCACTTCACCAGCATGGACCACACCACAGTTTGAGCTAGACGTTATTGTAGGGATGAAAGGGATGTTAAGAGAACAGTGGGATGAAAGGGGAAGGGAAGAGGATAATGATAATAATAATAATAATAATAATAATAATAATAATTCCTTACATTTATATAGTGCTTTTCTGGGCACTCAAAGTGCTTTACACAATGGGGGAAATCTCCTCATCCACCACCAGTGTGCAGCATCCACCTGGATGATGCGACGGCAGCCATTTTGCACCAGACTGCACACCACACACCAGCTAATTGGTGGAGAGGAGACAGAGTGATGATATGCCAATCATGATATGGGGAGGGTTAGCAGGCCATGATGGACAGAAGCCAGTGGACAGATTTGACCAGGATGCCGGGGTCAAACCTCTACTCTTTGTCGAAGGACATCCTGGGTTTTTAACAACCACAGAGAGTCGAGACCTAGGTTTAACGTCTCATCCGAGCAGTTTAGAGTCCCCATCACTATACTGGGGCATTAGGAACCACACAGACCACAGGTTGAGCGTCCCCTGCTGGCCTCAGTAACACCACTTCCAGCAGCAACCTAGTTTTCCCATGTGGTCTCCCATCCAGGTAAGAACCGGGTGAAGCCCTGCTTAGCTTCAGTGGGCGACCATGTGAGAGTGTCTGTTGACATTGCTTTGTTGCATTGCATTGTTTAAATGAGTTAAATGATTATGCGTAGATTTGTGAGACCATGTGAGAGTTGCAGAGAGCTAGCTGCCGGCTGCCGCATAAACAGTGAACACATAGGTATGTTGATCGGGCATCTTACAATGATGCCCAGAGACTGGGTACAGTCTCTGTAATTATTTGGTAGAGTGATTAGACCCACCTAATTCAACCTAGGAGGAAGAGAGGGAGCATGGAAATAGAGGGAGGGAGGGAGAGTGGCTTTGAGAGAACGAGAAGAACAATGCTAGCGGGCTAGTCTGCAAGTTTTAGGGAGTAGGTGATTGGTTAAGGAGACCAAGTGAGGCGTGGTTCCGCTGCTGAACCTTTGTTAACAAGTTAAATCCATTTGTAATGAATGAAACAACTGATAAATTTGCACAAATTGGTGCACAGGAATGTCATTTTGTTTGCGTTTTGCTGGTCCCTAAGACTAGATTTTTAAGGTCTTGGTTAGACCCTGTAATAGTTATTTAACACTTAGAAAGCTATTGAAAATAATAGACTTTTGATTTATGTCATAAACAGATTTTTTTTAGCTGATTTTCAAGTGTACATGGGTTGTAGACTCGTTATTACTTTGCATTGTGGGATTGATTGAGTTCACTTCATAATGCCCACAATGGATTTGGACACCACTAAAAATGGATGCTCCCTCAAATAGTGCAGTATTTACTGGGAGTGTATAAGGCCGTACTCACACTAGGTACAGTTGCCTCGAACCGGGCCAAAGCACGCTTGTCCCCCCTCCCGTCTCCCCCGACGGCCCGCGCTCACACCATATCGGGCCTCGGCACGCTTACGTCATCGCTGCTGCTCTGTTTGGCTAGAAGCGCTCTCTATGGCAAGCCTTTTTAGCATTTAAATCTTTGTTCTGACTCCATAAATATATTTAGAGATATCTCTAATTATATTTTGACTTGTCATAATTATAATTCCACTACTCAGAATGACAATTAGAGATATATGCAATTGCAATTGTACTTGTACGAAATCAGATTGGATATATCTGCAAATATATTATGACTAGTCATATTCCTCCATTGACTTCCATTGAAAAATATTTGCAGATATCTCTAAATGAGTTTTGACTAGTCACAACTGTAATTAGAGATAGCTCTAACTGAGTTCTTACTAGTCATAATACATTTAGAGATATCTTTAATTCGTCATATTTAGAGATATTTACAAATATATTTGAAGATATCTCTAATTAATTTACTAATAGTCGAATTACAGTTGTAGATATTTTGAATTGGATTTTTGACTAGTCAAAATTCATTTTGGAGATATCTCTAATTACAATTGTGACTAGTCAAAACTCATTTAGAGATATCTGCAAATATTTTTCAATGGAAGTCAATGGAGGAATATGACTAGTCAGTCATAATATATTTGCAGATATCTCCAATCTGACTAGTCGAATTATAATTATGACTTGTCAAAATATAATTAGAGATATCTCTAAATATATTTATGGATAGTCAGAACAAGGTTTAAATGCTAAAACGGCTTGCCATACGCTCTCATCCAGTAGCACATTTCTCTTGTTATATCGTTTCAGTCGTTTGTTATGCAGTGACATGCAGTCAAATATTTCCCCAAACAGTCCTTAGGGATGCGGTGACACGCAGTCAGATATTTCACTGGACAGATCCACCACTTTTGGCGCTCATAAACACTCATAAAGCTCTCGTGCTGCAGGAATGAGGAGGTCTGCTGAAGGCGCGCAGCTGTCATGCTGTGAGGAGTTCTCGTCTTTAATAAACTACGGCAGTTTGCGATCACTGAACAGTAAGAATGATTAATAAATCCATATGAAACAACTCCTTAAAAGTCACGTATCGCTTTCAGTTTCGGGCTTTGGCGCGTTTTGCACTCACACACAAGCGTACCGTGCCAAAGCCCAAGTGATCCGCGCTCAGGCACACCTCTTCCAACCGGGCCAGGGCCGGCCAATTGAACCGTGCTTGAGCCCGATTCAGCGCACTCACACTTCTCAAACGATCCGGGAAACGGGCCTGGGCACGGTACGGATGGCATAGTGTGAGTAGGCCCTAAGTGTTATTTACGCCAATATATCCTTAAGTAACTAAATTAGGATACAATTATGTGTTATAAGCAAGCTAACCTGATGATTATATAAACAAAAAATGATATCTATATTTCCAAATTAACTTTATATGAATTTAATCTAAGATCAAATCTATGGAAAACATCTTCTACAGTTTATTATAGAAGAAGTTGATTCGTCCATGGAATCGCATGAATCTCATAAAAGCAATTGTGTGAGTACCAGCAAGCAGGGTGAGCACTTTGTTTGCAAGTGTTGTATATTGAGTTAGTAACAAATTGATTGTTCAGTTACGACGCACTCTAGTGGTGTGTGTGTGTATGTGGTTGTTGCAATAGTGAAGTAAAGACGTGTTCAGAGCAGCTCCGGTGTGATTGTCTTAATTACTGTTATGTAAGTGTACAAACATAACAGAACTGGCGACGAGGATTGTAAAGACCCAGTTGTGCAGCAAGTTTCATCATCAGGCTTAACGTGCAGTGGGTAATGTACAGTATATACATATATTAACGAACCGAAAGGGAAGACGAAACAGAAATGGCTGCGTGCATCGGACAAATGGATGCTTTTGAAAGCACGGTGGAAGACTGGGCAACATATGTGGAGAGAGTTGAGCAATATTGCTTAGCCAATGACATCGGGAACGAAAGAAAAGTTGCCGTTCTCTTGAGTGTAATGGGGGCAAAAACATACAACCTCTTACGCAGTTTATCAGCACCAGTTAAGCCAGCCGAGAAAACTTTCAAAGAGATTGTGGAAGTGCTGCAAACGCATTTAAATCCGAAACCATTGACGATCGCGGAGCGCTTTCGCTTCCATAAGCGAAATCAACACAAGACAGAGTCTGTATCGGAGTACATGGCCGAGCTCCGGAGACTCGCAGAGCACTGCCAATTCGGTGATGGTTTGTCTGACGCGCTCAGGGATAGGCTTGTTTGCGGCATTCACAGCGAGAGCACGCAAAAGAGACTCCTTACTGAAAGAGAGCTCACGTTGGCGCGAGCGCTTGAAATCGCCGTTTCTATGGAGACAGCCGCAAAAGATGCGCTGGAATTACAGAGAAAGGCGATCTCGGAATGTCACATAAACAAGTTCACGTCAAAGAAAAGTGAAAATTCATTGTGTTTCAGATGTGGGAAAAAGTCACATAGCCCTACTGAATGCTGGTTTAAAGAGAAGGAGTGCAGACAATGTCATCGCAAGGGACACATACAGAAAATGTGTAAAACAAAAGCAACTGAAAATAAAAGAAAGTCATTTGGAAAAAGACACACTAAGATGCATGAGCTGAACGAATCTGATACAGAAAACTCTGATGTGGCAAGCCTCTCATACATTGAACTACACGCCCTTAAAGAGACAGATCGCGAAATCATCTGGGTGAGTCCTATCATTGAGGGAGTAAAACTGAAAATGGAGCTTGATACAGGATCGGCACTGTCAATAATATCGTACAAGGATTACAAAGACCATTTTGAAAAGTTCAAACTAAAGCACACATCTGTAATACTCAAGACATATACAGGAGAGAAAATCTCACCCATGGGAAAACTGAAGGTGAGAGTAAAATGTGAAAAACAAAGGCGAGTCTTGAATCTTTATGTGCTGAAAAAGGGGGGAGTGCCCTTATTTGGACGAGAATGGCTGAGGAGCATTCGGCTTAACTGGCAGTCCTTAAAAGCCATACAAGTTAACCCGGAAACAACACTTCAGCAAGACAAATTAGAGGAGGTGCTAGTGAAACATGCACAAGTTTTCCAAGATGGAATTGGAACTCTAAAACACATTAAAGCAAGGCTCAAGGTTGAAAGTGATGTGCAACCAAAATTTCACAAAGCACGCCCTGTACCATATTCAGTACGCCCAAAAGTGGAGGCGGAGCTAAAGCGACTAGAAGACCAAGGAATCCTGTCTAAGGTAAACTGGACTGACTGGGCTACACCTATAGTCCCAATTGTCAAGAAGAGTGGTGATGTAAGAATTTGTGGCGACTTCAAAGTCACGATTAATCCAGTCTTACAGGCAGACCAGTACCCATTGCCTCTCATTGATGACATTTTTGCGTCACTGTCAGGTGGGCAGCGTTTTTCAAAAATTGATCTTGCCCAGGCGTATTTGCAGATGGAGATGGAAGAATCGTCTAAAAAGTACCTGACAATAAATACGCATAAGGGTCTCTTTCGCTACAACAGACTTGTATTTGGGGTCTCGTCAGCACCAGCTGTGTGGCAAAGAGCCATGGATCAAGTCTTGCAGGGTGTCGCTGGCACACAGTGCTATTTAGATGACATTATAGTCACGGGCCATGACGATAAAACCCATCTGGCAAACTTGAATGCTGTGCTGGAAAGACTGGCTGAGTATGGTCTGAGAGCAAATAGGAGCAAATGTGAATTTTTCAAAGATTCAATTGAATACTGTGGACACCGGATTGACAAGGCAGGGCTTCACAAGTCTCCAGACAAAATCAATGCCGTACTTAATGCACCAAGACCAGAGAACGTGAACCAGCTTCGTTCGTTTCTCGGACTGGTAAACTATTATCACAGATTTTTACCAAATCTCTCCACAGTTATACATCCATTAAATGCTTTGCTTCAAAAGACAAGTAAATGGGTGTGGTCAAAGGACTGTGACAAGGCGTTCAAGATGGCTAAGCAACTGATCACGTCAGAGACTGTGTTAACACATTATGACCCCAGTCTACCCCTGCGTGTTGCATGTGACGCTTCACCATACGGCATAGGTGCAGTTTTGTCTCACAAAATGACTGATGGATCTGAGCGGCCAATTGCATTTGCGTCTAGATCCTTGACTGTGTCAGAACGCAAATATGCACAGATTGATCGAGAAGGCTTAAGCTTAGTATGGGGAGTGAAGAAGTTTAATCAATATTTGTATGGAAAACACTTCACTCTGATCACAGATCATCAGCCATTAGTGGCCATTTTCAGCCCCAACAAATGTGTCCCAGTAATGGCTGCAGCACGCCTACAACGATGGGCATTGTTTTTAGGTGGTCATGACTATTCAATTGAGTTCAAGGGCACTAAGCACCATGGAAACGCAGACGGACTGTCGCGCCTTCCTCATGAGAATGCAGATGAGGGGACAGATGAAACTGACATGTTTCACATTGTTCAAATGGAACCTTTACCAGTCACAAGTGCTCAAATTCAAAATGAGACTCGTCGAGACCCGGTACTGTCCAAGGTGTTTGACCTGACCATGAAAGGATGGCCAGCTAAAGGGGATCCTCAACTGTTGGACTACTCAAATCGTCGTGAACAGCTTTCTGTAACACAAGGATGTGTCATGTGGGGTACTCGAGTGATAGTTCCACATAAGCTACAAGCCAGAGTACTCACTGCCTTACATGAAGGACATTTAGGTGTTGTGAAAATGAAAAGCCTGGCCAGGAGCTATGTTTGGTGGCCAGGGCTAGATCGTCAAATTGAAGATCTTGCTAAGGCATGCTCTGGATGCCAGCAAATTCAGCGACAGCCAAAGGCAGCACCTTTACATGTGTGGGAATTTCCTACCAGCCCCTGGCAGCGAGTTCACATTGACTATGCAGGACCCATTTTTGACAAAATGCTTCTGGTGGTAGTGGATGCATATTCAAAATGGCCAGAGGTATTTCCCATCAAAAATGCAACATCCACGATGACTGTAGAACTGCTCCGCACATTGTTCTCCCGCACTGGCTTGCCAGAGCAGTTAGTCAGTGATAACGGTACGCAGTTTACTTCGGAGGAATTCCAGTCATTTGTCAAAAGCAATGGAATAAGGCACACAACATCTGTTCCTTACCATCCTTCTACGAACGGTTTAGCGGAACGCTTTGTTCAGTCCCTAAAACAGTCACTAAAGGCCATGGGAAAGGAAAAAGTGTCTCTACAAGAAAAGATTGCAAACTTCCTGCTGGCCTACAGAAATGCTGCACATGCGACTACAGGTCAATCTCCAGCCACACTTTTTATGGGCAGAAGTCTTCGTACGCGCTTAGACTTACTTAAGCCTGATCTACGCCGACATGTGCAAGCCAAACAGTGTCAGAAAAACACAAAGCAATCCGTACTCAGGACGTTACATGTTGGACAAAATGTACTGGCTAGAGACTACAGACAAACACATCAAAAGTGGCAACCAGGCAAGATATTGTCCAAGACTGGGCCCCTTACTTACACTGTACAAGTTGGTGCCAACATGGTCTGGCGCAGACACATTGACCAGCTTTTGGATGCAACCTCACAGGTTGATTCTTCTCAAAACTTAACAGAGAATGTGGAAACTTCCCCATGCCCTGATGAGTATGCACTCATAACACCAGAGTTTCCCTTTACAGACACTGGTGTAACCGAAACAGAAACTGTTCAGGTGTCCAGTGCTCAGTCCTCATCTCAAAACGCAATGCCTCAAGCGAAACGTTATCCAGAGCGTGTTCACAAACCACCTGACAGACTAAACTTATAGTTATTCATATATACATATGATAACTAGCTGAAATAACTGTTACAACTATTTGCATTGTTGAATAAGTTCTGCATTGTTGTGTTTGGAGTGTTTGTATTCTTACTGGTAAATATAATGTAATGCAGCTTGAAGGGATACATCAATGCTGGAGGGGAGGAATTGTTGTATATTGAGTTAGTAACAAATTGATTGTTCAGTTACGACGCACTCTAGTGGTGTGTGTGTGTATGTGGTTGTTGCAATAGTGAAGTAAAGACGTGTTCAGAGCAGCTCCGGTGTGATTGTCTTAATTACTGTTATGTAAGTGTACAAACATAACAGCAAGCACAGACAACAGTTGGTCTCTTAAGCTTGGAAAACTCTGTGGAGCACATTGGAGAAGTGGAAAATGCACTTTGAGATGCTGCTAATAAGAAAATAATATCTACCTAGGAACTTTGTTCGGTAACATTAGCAGCTTTAGCTTTCACATGCTAACACACCATGCTCATTTGATTCAACAATGGCTTATGGTTGCTATGTTTATTATTGGTTGTTACTGTTTGTTCTGTTGACATTGCTTTGTTGCATTGCATTGTTTAAATAAGTTAAATGATTATGCGTAGATTTGTTTATTGATTTAAATTGTGTTTACTAGTTTATAGCAATATTTTATATGGTTTTTGTTTTTGTAAAGGTTATAACATTAGACTTCTGATATATGGATTGATTTGAGACCAGAACAACACCAAACCAAAAAAGTTGGGACACATAGAAAAAGAAAGTAATGATTTCTAAATTTATTTTGACTTGTAGTTGCATACAACAAACATAATTTGATGTGTTCCTAGTAATTTTTATGTATTTATTTTTTCAAAGTAAACATGTATTCCTATTTTAGTTTTGCAACACGTTTAAAAAAAAGTTTGAACAGTAAAGCATTTACCACTCTGTAATGTTGCCATTCTTTTTCACAACACTTGAAAGATATTTCCTTTAAAACATAACTGTTCAAATGACATCTTCTGGACATTTCTTTTGAACAATTAAACGCTGTAATGACGTCCAGTAAGGGTGCAGAATGAACGATTTTATGACATCCTTTTAAGACTTAGATACAGCCTTAGATGAAATCAACTAAAACATAATATTTCTCAAAATCTCAGCAGAGCCTTATTAAACACCTTTACAAACAGCATTAGCAGCTTCACTTACATTTAATTTGTTGACTGTGAGTTGTCTACCCAAGTTCTCAGTCAACATAATTTAGAACCTAAAGTTTTTAAAAGTTTTATTCAAAATAAGTCACTATGGCAGTGAAGAGTGGTTGCTTTACTGTGTTTTATATTAACTTCTCTTTGTTTGTTAAAGCAATGTGTTATGTCAAAACATAATGCAGGACAAAAGGGATTGTTGCATTTTTAAAAAAAAAAATGTTTGATTCATTTGTTTTTCAGTGATTTTAATCTAGTACAATGGTAATAACATGTTGTTGATTTCACTGAGCTGATAGTATAAATCACGTGCTTCTGCATATTGAAAGCCAGCGGTGCATTGATCAGGTTTTAAAAACATCTTGAACATCTGAGTCACTCAAAAAAGAGACATCAAGAATTATTGTATGCTTCTCAATGATGGTGACACATTTCATGCTGCAGTGCATGCTGGAGAATCATACAAAACTTGTCTGACAAAGGAAATGTTTTGCCATCATCGAGATGCATACGCTGAATCTTTATGTCTGTGTATTTTTAGAGCCTCAGACGTTCATTGTGCTTTTAAGACCTGACCAACACACTTCTAGCTCTAAATGTCTTATCAGTGTAATTAACACCTCAGTGCCATTATAATACATTAAGAGTCACTGACTAAATGAGATTAGCAAATAAAACTTTTAAATAACCCAGCAGCATTAACAAACTGCTGCTTGCCATAGAAACAATCACACAATTTAGCTATAATTAAAACAGTGACCCGCAGGCATGCTTCATTGCAGTGGTGATTCCAAAAACCACACCCTTAGAGGACATCATTTGAACACAATTGTGTTTGGTGGGTTTGGGACTGAAGACACAAATTGATGAATGTCAGGAGTCATTTTGTCCCATTCTTCCTACAAACAAGTTTTAAAGTAGGAATCAGTACCAGGTCTTCGTGGTCACATTTTGCACTTCAAAATGCACCATACATTCTCTATTGGAGACAGGTTGGTACTGCAGACCGGCCAGTCAAGTACCTGTCTCCTCTTCCTCCAAAGCCAGGACTTTGTAATGTGTGCAGAATGTAGTTTTGCATTATCTTGTTGATGTATGCATGGGCGTCCCTGGAAAAGAAGGCAGCATATTGTGCTCCAAAATCTTTATATGTTTTTCAGCATTAATGGTGCCATCAAAGAAGTGAAAGTTATTGCCAAGGGCACTGATACAATTCCATACCATGACAGATCCTGGATTTTTTGATGGTTCTTCCAAGATACCCCTGAGCTCAGAGAACTTAAAAGGCTTCCTTTTGGCATAGTACAGTTTTAACTGGCATTTGTGGATGTAACTACCTATTGTGGTACTTGATAAAGGTTTGCCAAAGTAGTCCTGAGCTCATGTGGTGATATAGATATATGGCAATTCTTGATGCAGTATTGCCTGAGAGATTGAAAATCATGGTTATTCAGCTTAGGCATGCGCCTTGTCCTTTGCACACTGAAATCTGTCTAGATTCCTTGAATCTTTTAATGATGTTATGCACTGTTGAAGGTGAAATATCCAAATATGAAATGTTTATTTCTATTTTTCTTTGAGAAACATAGTTTTTAAACATTTCAATCACCTGTTTAAACTCGAAATATAACCAATTTAACATTATATAAATATAACTATATTACTATTACTATCCCTAAGTCTATGCCAACTTTTTTTTTAAATGCGTTACAGGTACTGTATATATATATATATATATATATATATATATATATATATATATATATATATATATATATATATATATATATATATATATATTCATTCATTCATCCATGGTCGGCTTGTCGGCTTATATCATTCCCTTCATTAATCCGGGGTCACCACGACGGAATCAACTGCCAACCTATCCAGCACATTTTTACGCAGTGGATGCCCTTCCAGCTGCAAACCATCTCTCGGAAACATCCACACACACTTTCAAACACACACTCATACACTATGGACAATTTAGCTTACCCAATTCAACTGTATCGCATCTCTTTGGACTGTGGGTGAAACCTGAGCACCCAGAGGAAACCCATGCAAATGCAAGGAAAACATGCAAACTCCACACAGAAACGCCAACTGAGCCGAGGATTGAACCAGCGACCTTCTTGCTGTGAGGCAACAGCACTACCTACTGCACTACTGCGTTGCCCACACATATATATATATAGTGGATATAGGTGTGGATCCAAGTGCAGATATTTATTTACAGTGCAACAAACAAGGTGATCAAAATACAAAGTAACAAACAAATGACAAAACTAGAAACTAAAACAGAGACAAGGCTCAGAAACAATAACTCTACAAACTAGACTTTAGCAAAAAATACAAGAACAAGAAACTCGGTAGCAAGACTCACTAGAACTCGGGACAAGAATGACAAAGAAGACAAACGACGCAGTGACAAACAGAGGTGAAATGGTTGTATAAATAGTCCAGGAAATTAACAGGAAACAGGAACAGCTGTGAGCCAATCAGTGTACGTGGACCGGGTGTAATGTGCAAGGTATGTATGAACTTGTAGTCTTTTGGGCGCTGTAGTAAATCTTCAGAGTCTGTGAACTACAGAGCCCTCCGGTGGTCACTGACCGTCATGACAGTACCTTCTTTAAAGAGCGGCTACCAGACGCTCCAAGAAAAGTCCAGGGGGGGGGGGGGGGGCGGTTGTGGGGGAAGCGGAGCAGGAACAAGGGGAGGGATGGGAGGGTCAGACCAGGGTAGGTTTGTGGGTCAGGCGCTCCAGCAGGAAGCCAGGGTGCAGCCGGGGAATCCGTCCCAAGTAGTGGGGAGGACCTCCAGGGAGGGTCGGGAGGGATGACCCATGGATGATCCTGTAGGGGACACAAGGCAGGGGTCTTTAGGAGAGCTGGCTGGAGAGGCAACTGGACAGGAACCAGCCTAACTGGAGGCAGCTGGACTGGAGGCAGCTGTACTGGAGCCGGCAAGGCTGGAGGCAGCTGGATTGGAGCCGGCGGGGCTGGAGGCAGCTGGACTGGAGCCGGCGGGGCTGGAGGCAGCTGGACTGGAGCCGGCGGGGCTGGAGGCATCTGGACTGGAGCCGGCGGGGCTGGAGGCAGCTGGACTGGAGCCGGCGGGGCTGGAGGCAGCTGGACTGGAGCCGGCGGGGCTGGAGGCAGCTGGACTGGAGCCGGCAGAGCAAGGAGGCTGAGCGAGATCGGCCGAGCAAAGAGCCAGAGTGGAACCGGCAGGGCATGGAGCCGGACTGGGGCTGGCAGGGCCAGATGTCTGGGAGGTGCCGGCAGGGCAAGACGTCTGGATGGCGTTGGTATTGCCAGGAGCCGGGCTGGGACCGGCAGGGCGAGGAGCCTGGGGGGCGCCGGTAAAACCAGGAGACGGACTGGAACTGACATTGTACTGCTCTCTGGGGCTGGAGCCGACACTGGCGGGCGCTCTGGGGCTGGAGCCGACACTGGCGGGCGCTCTGGGGCTGGAGCCAACACTGGCGGGCGCTCTGGGGCTGGAGCAGACACTGGCGGGCGCTTTGGGGCTGGAGCAGACACTGGCGGGCGCTCTGGGGCTGGAGCAGACACTGGCGGGCGCTCTGGGGCTGGAGCAGACACTGGCGGGCGCTCTGGGGCTGGAGCAGACACTGGCGGGCGCTCTGGGGCTGGAGCCGACACTGGTGGACTTTCTGGGGCGTGAGCAGTCCTGTTCCTACGCCTCCTCCGTCTGGTGGTTTGAGAAGTGAGAGCATAGTTAACAGGTGAGGGAGCTTGCTCTGGAGCTGGAGCAGACACTGGCGGGCATTGTGGGACTGGAGCAGACACTGGGGTTCCACACAGTTCTAGCAGGCTCTCCAGAGGCTCAGAAAAAGGTGATCTTCGGACAGCCCGACGCGGATAAGGCCGCAACTCCAGTCCTGCCTCTCTCCTCTTTCCCTTGGTTAAATCAGCTGGCCCCGAAAATATCCCTCTCTGTTGCCCTCCACTCAGGCCTCCCTCCTGAGGGTTCTCCTCCCTCAGGGCAACAGAGAGAGGGGAGCCAGCGATCAACAAAGCTGCTTCAATAAACCGGTAAAGGTTCCAGTC